AGTATGGGTGAAGTCTGCACAACCTGAACAAGGTAAATGATTACACTAAGAAGTACATACGAATATGGGATAATTTTGGTAAACGCTATAACATACAATTTTGCAACAACAGTAATAACAACGAAAAAATATATGTGTGGTTACATAGATAGAGATGTATGCATATATGTGTATAGGAAGGCACATGTGAGTATATGGATGTGCACGTATAGGTGTATCTGTAGGCATACGTATAAACGTGTGTGTGTGCTGCATGTACATTCACATGCATAATAAAGCACATGGGGGCACAATTACAGATACTTCCTAGACATAACCAAACACCTCACGGGATTGGTTTACTGGGTTTGAAGGCTTAGGATGACAGTCTCCTGGGACAACTTGGTCAATTGGCATAACACAGTTTATAATATTGTATATCCTAGTTTGCTGAGTAGCGTCTGGGGTCTTAAAAGCTTGTGAGTCTCCATCTAAGATACAGCTATTGGTCTGTACTTGTCTGGAGCAAAAGAGAAAGAAGGAAACCAAAGACTCAAACAAAAAACTAGTCTACAGGACTAACAGTCTACATGAACCACAGCCTCATCTATCCTGAGACCAGAAGAACTAGATGGTACCCAGTTACCACTACCAATCGTTCTGACCAGAGACACAACAGACAATCCCAGATAGAATGGGAGAAAAACGTAATACAAAACTCAAATTCCTAAAAAAAAGCCAGACTTACTGGACTGGCATAGACAAGAGGAACCCCCAAGACTATTGCCCTGAAGTACTCTTTAAACTTGGAACTGAAGGCACTCCAGGAGGTCATCTTTCGGCCAAATGATAGATTGGTTCATAAAATAATATCACCATGAGTACTGTGCTCCTTTAAATAATCATCTATTTGAGACCAAATGGTCAACATTTACCCTAAAGTAAAGATGAGAATGTAAGGTGGGGGGGAGGGGGGTACGTGGGCAGGGAAGCTAGATTAATGGAAACAGAATAACCAGAATTGAAATAATGAGAATGCTGACACATTGTGAAAAATGTAACCAATGTCACTGAACAAAACGTATAGAGATTGTTCAATGGGAACCTAATTTGCTGTGTAAACTTTCACCAAAACACAATAAAATATTATAAAAGAAAAAAGAAACACGTATATCAGTACAAATTTCTTACAGTAAATATATGTCATCTGGGAAGTTATATTCCCTTCTCCTTTAATTTTTTTTCCCCCATCATCTACTATGAAATAAAAGTGATGAGAAACCATTTTAATTCTCCTGGAATCCAGATTTCTGGGTCCATGGAGTTAGAGGAACCCACCCAGGCCATTTGCCCTTAGGTGTCCTTTTGAACCTTGAGCCTTGAAGAAACTGGTTTCCTCAAGTCATCTTCAAGTCAAACAATAGCCTAGTAAGCAGCTTAGCAGAGATCGTTTTGCCTTAGGCACTGAGGTCTTTTGGAGAATTACAATGACCTTCAGGAGACTGTCCTGCTGGGACTGGACCTTATAACTTGTTTTCAGTATCCCCTCTTTGAAGTGCCCTCGCAATACCTTTGGGTTGACTAAATCGAATCATTATCTACTCAAAATAAATATATTCTGTTCACTGGAGCCCTGGTGGCACAGTGGTTAAGAGCTTGGCTGCTAACCGAAGGTCAGCAGTTTGAATCCAGCAGCTCTCCTTGGAAACCCTATGGTGCAGTTCTACTCTGTTCTATAGGGTTGCTATGAGTTGGAATTGACTCAACGGCAATGGGTTTGGTGTTTTTTGTTGTTGTTGTTTCACTAATTATTGGTGTTTCTCTGTACATTTAGGTTTTTAACAGTAGCTACAAAAATAAATATATAAAAATACATTTTCCCCAATATTGAAATTTTTATTATATTTTCATCTTCAGATTTTGTGTATATCTTGTAAGATGTGGTATGCCTTACAGCTAAGAATGTGAACTCTGGTGCTAGACTATCTTCATTCAAATCTTGACCCTACCATGAGTTGTGTAACATAGGCTACTTACTTAAACTGCCCATGCCTTTGCTCCTCACATGCAAAATGAATATATCTACCTCACAGGACAGTCATGAGGCTAAAATGAGTAATACATATAAAAGGTTTAGAACAATGCCTGGCACAAAGTAAACAATAAACACCAAGGATTATAATTACTGGCACTTTTAGAAAGGTTACGTCAATAACTTGCTTATGTGTTAAGTACTTGAGATTTCTAATGCATTTCATGCTTTCAAAGAAGCCCATAAAATAGTTTACTGTGCACCTACCATACACACGGTAGTGCACTGTTAGAAAAACAATTCAATAACTACAGATTGCTTGTATTTTGCTGATGCTTTGGCACACACAGTGTTTTTTGTGTCCACAACTTACTACTTTTTATGACATGGAGACTACCCTCCTTTCATTATGGAACGTTTACTCTGGGGGCTCTGATTTCAGTTCCTTTAGTAGTATTTCAGTATTACAGTGACTACTGATGTCTTGGTGAAATAATGCTGTTGGACGGTATTATAAACATTTTTTTTTTATAGGAATACTGATTTACAACTTTTCTGAGTTAAAATTAGCTGCTCATAGGCTCATAGTAATCCTCCAACTCACCCATACTGTTCATGACTGCTGTTATTTTAACTTGGCAACTGCTTTTAATATCATATAGAAGTGAAAACTATATATGCAACAAATCCGCCTTTCATAATAATAAAGCTGGTTGTTATCCCCAATGCTGATACACGCCAGTCTCTAGGCATTCTCCATGTTTTATGAACTGCTGGGATTTATCACCAGTGGAGCAGAGAATGTCATAGCTTAAAGGCAACTGGCTGATTTTACATCTTCCCAGTACAGACCCATGGGTTAATCTCATTGTTAGAGTTATGCATCAATGCTACTATGAAGAGTCTGTAATCTTGCATAAGTAAACTGTGAAATTAAAGATACATAAGTGGAAGTGTATCACATGGTAGCTGGACTCTTGCCTATCAGTCTTCATGACCATAAAATGAAAATAAAGGTAATAGTTCAGTGAGGACTTTCTATTTATTTTGCTTAATCCTCACAATAACTCTATGGATCAGATACTAATATTTTCCTCATTTTAGAGATAAGGAAATTAGGCCTTACAGAGATTAGGGAATTTTCTCTGAGGTCAGGCTAAATAGTAAGGTTGAGCCTCAAGTCCAGCTCTGTCTGACATCAAAGTTGATGTTACTAAACTATTATGTTTTAACTCTCTCCTTGCTACAAAATTCTTTAACGTTCTTTTGCTTCTTAGTTTTTAATATCTATGGTGGATGTCTCAGGCAATTTCCACCTTCTAAGAGGTAACTCTTTGTTTTATGAGCCATAACGGTTTTTTGCAAAGGGCTACCTACGACAGTATCTGAACTAAGATGCTGACTTATACTTTACCAAGGACAGGAAGGAGGGGCAGAGAGAGTATGTTACTATCAAAACTTGAGTACCACCTATTAATTAGAGATTCATTTTAACAAGCTGTGCTCAGCCTGTTGTTATCATTATTTTTTCATGGATACATATCACCTCTTTAATTAAGTGCTGAGATGGCTAAAAGGCCATTACTGTTACCGTGCCCTTCTCTGCATGTGATACATCACTTAGCCGTGGTGACTTCCGATGGCAGATGCATAAGAAATTCTGAGATTTGTAGCAAAGACTAATCAATAAAGAGCTGGTTCAGTGTTAGATGGGACGTCAAAGAATGGCTAAGACTGTAAGTTTCAAAAGAAACAGAACACTTTCTAGGAGAGAAATCCAACATTAACGGCTCATCCCCTCGAACACTTTCTGAAGGTGCTAGCTAAAGGATTTATCACAAATGTTGAGGACTACCTCTGGGGCATTACCACTTGACACTTTCTCCCTAACAAGGAATCTCAGATTATTGGAAATGGTTGCCCTATAATGAAGGAAGGAAGAGAAGGAAAAAAATAAAAAAAGGACAGCGTGGGTGGATTAGCGGCAGAAAACGAGTTTGCCATCACTGATTCTCTCTAGTCTTTTTTTTTTTCTTTAATGGAAGGTGGGGAGAACTCAGGAAACCTTCAAAATTCCTCTGCTTTTATCTGTTTCCTGTTTACATACAAGATGACAAATATATTAGGGCAAGTGGTCGGGGGGAACGTCCTTGGTATTCTTTACACATCTAACCTTCAAGTATTTCCAGCAGGATACTGGACAAGCTCGGAGGTCGGCATAGGTTTTTTTACAGGACTTAGCCTCCTGGTTTCTTCAGTCTCTTGTGGTGCGCAGTAAATAAATAAAACACCGCTCTCTTCCGTTTGCTTCTGTCCCTGCCTTGCCTATCCCCCTGGAGAGGTGCCCTTGCCTCTCTGGGTCCACATGAGTGGCATCTCCAGGGAGGTGTGGATCGCACCGACACTGTCAGAGGGGGTGACATCAAATGACTCCAGGGTCCGTGGCTGGACAGTGACTGCTGGCAGGCCCGCACCACTGGGTGAGAGGCCACCAAGGAAGTGGCGTCACTAGGGTTGGTGTTACCTGTCACCCAGTGTGGGTAACTCGCCACCCCTCCACGCCCCCCACCTGTCACCAAGAGAGGGGAGGAGCAGCGGCGACGCAAAAGGCGGGGCCAGGAGGGGGTGGCACTCAGCCCTGCGCGGGTGCAGGGCGAGGCCGCTCCGCCCACCCTGGGTCGGGGAGTGACACCGTGAGTTACCTTCCTGGATGACACCAACCCTACAGACGCCATGGCACATGTAAAAGGGGGCAACAACAACGGGGCACACCTCCTAGGCGCTGTGAGACTCTAATCCAATTAGGAAATGCCCAGGCCAACCTGGGGCCTTAGTGGAAGGTCACCTTCTCCTTCGAGGTGCTGATGGCAACGGCGGAACCCAATTCCAGGGCCAGAACGTATTAAATAAGGGCTTTGGGCTCGCGGCCTCCTCCGCCCGCCTTCGCTCCCCTCCCGTTCCGCCCCGCCCTGAAACGCCAAGTATTCACCTAAGGCGCTCGCAGCCGCCGCCCGCTGCATGCAAGCCAGCTTGGGAACTGCGACCCCCCACATCCCACGCTGCGTCGTAGCGGGCGAGGAGAACTGCCGAGAGCCTGCAACCTGGTGAAAAGGCGGGGCAAGGGGCCGAGGGGCGGGGCAGGCGCATTTAGTGGGTGTGGCGAAGGTGGCTCCAACCCGGATCATTCAGGAGATATGTTTTCTTTTTCAATACAACCTAGTTAAGGGAAGCCACCTACACAGGGGGTCACCATGAGTCTGAATGGATTGGAGGGCAACTAACAACAACAACAACTACATCTAAAACAGAAACTTAATGCGAGGACGCCTCACCCCTGTGGTTCCTCAGGAATCCAAACAAAGTTTGGAAAGGTCAAAGACCATGGCTGACCAGTTGGTATTTTTGGTTTCCCGCTCCGCCTCTGCGCGAACCCAGTGAAAATTCTCGCGCTGCAATTGGGTCTGGATGGGAGTGTACGGAACCTGTGCGCCGCGGAACCCTTGTCTCTGGGTTCTGGGTTCCACACGCGCGTCTTTGCAGCGCTGTTTCCGGCAGCTCTCTTCCCTTACATGTGGCGCGGTGGTGGGGGTGCTGATAGCGATGGCGCCGCGGGGCTGGCGTCCACGGACCCTGAAGCGGTGTCTGAGAGAGGTCAGTAAAGCCACGGAGCAGCCCGAGTGCTTCCTCACGTAAGTGTGCAGAACTTGAGCTCGGGATGCGGCCCGGGTGTCAAGTGGGCGTGGGCTGCTAGCCCCCTGTGAATTCTAGAGTACGGGGAAAGTAAGGGGAACTGTAGATCACTTTCCCCCAAAATTTCAGATAAAACTGATGCCCCCCTAAACTATCAAATTATTAAAAATTGTTAAAAGCTTTACAATGCAGATTTCCCGGTTATGAGCTGAATTATTAATGCCCAGAGACCTCCCCCAACCCCGGTGAGGCCTACTCCCCCTACCTCCGTACTCCCCACCCCCGTACACGGTCACTAGATTGGTTGCTTTTTCCTCCCGCGTCCTTCCAAAGCAGAGTGCTTACCCGTTATCATACTTTATTCAAAGTGGTAACTTGTCTGTTGTCCGGCCATCCCCGCAACTGAACTTCTTGAGATTTATAATGTCTTTAATCTCTCTTCCAAGTACAAGCTCTCCATACGTGTTTTGTTGACGAACTTCGAATATGATCTATGAAATTATGAATCCCAGATATTTCAAACTCCAAACCTCTCCCTTGGGCTCCAAACTCACAACAATTACAGCTGCATACTCTCAACATCTTAAACTCTGTATGTCCGGAATAGAATGTTGGTTCTATTCACCCTTCCCTTACCTGAAATCCCTTACCTGAAATCCCTTCTCCGCATTCCACCATCCAAGCCTTCCCTATCTGTTAGTGCACTTCTGTCCTTCCAGTTGCTCGCGCAAACAGCTAGGGTCCTTCCTTGATGTCTTCTCCTTTTTAATTTTACACCTAATTTGTTAGCAAATTCTGCCATTTATATCTCCAAACTATGTTTTGGGTCTGGCTATTTCTCACCATCTCTACTGCTCTTACCCAGCACAGGCCACCATCATCCGTTGACTGGACCCCTGCATCAACCTAATCTTCCTGTCTTCATTCTTTTTCCTTCATAGGCCATGTTTCCTTAGCGTAAGTCATACCTTTTTTTTTTTTTCTCTGCTTAATGACATCTCATTGCACTTAAAATAGCAGACTCTTAACCTCTGCATGATTTGGCTCCCACCTGCCTTTCCAGCCTCCCTTGCTACCTCCTTCATGTTCCAGCCATGCTGGCCTTTATGTTCCTCAAGCTCACCAAGTCGTTTACTTCTCAGAAATTTGTTCTTGCTTTTTCTTCTGCCTGGAATACACGTGTCCAGACTTTACAAGGCTTTTCTCTTCATCCACAGATACCATCTCAGATGTCACCTCAGAGACTTCTTCCCTCACTGCTCTAGCCAAAGCAAAGGTTAACCATTGACTGACTGAAGGAAGGAGTGGCATATAATGTAGCAGAGTTGAGAATTTAAGGCTAAAATTCGCTGTATATCTCCAGGCAAATAGGTCTGTAATGGTATTCCTGCTGAAATTTTATACAGCAGATTTGCAGACACTTAGTAGATAGTTTCGATATATCAGTGTGGCTTATCAGCAAGATAATGCTCTTGGAGGTCAGAATCTGTACTTAAAATAGCATCATTCAAATTTGACTTTGCACAAGAGCTGGGCCTTTTTTAAAAAATTGATTGAGAGTGCTGTGAAAATATTACCTATAATTCTAAATCTCATTTAATTTTCTCCTTTTCTTACTAGAATTCAAGACGGATTGGCATCAAACTTTACCTCTTTAACAAAAGTACTTTATGACTTTCATAAAATCCTAGAGTACCGTAGTATCCGTGCGAGTCCTTTAAAAAAGCTGGTAATCAACAATTTTGATGATGAGCAGATTTGGCAACAATTGGAATTGCAAAATGAACCAATTTTACAGTACTTCCAGAATACAGTTAGCAAAACAATTAAAGACGAGGGTATCAGTCTTCTCCCAGAGACTGAAGAGCAGGAGTGTAAAGAGGATGGCTCAGAGATGGAGGCTGATGGACAGGAGGACCTAGAACAAGACTTGGAGGAGGGAGAAGTGTCAGATCTGAGTGGTGATGATCTTAAAGGACATGAGAGCACGAAACATCTAAGCAAATCAGATCTGAGGGAAAGCCCAGATTTCAGCGATGAGGATTCGGACCGTGACTTTGATATCGACAAATTGGAACAGCAGAGCAAGGTGCAAAATAAAGTGCCTAGGAAACCAAGAGAGAAGTCGATAGTAGATGATAAATTCTTCAAGCTATCTGAAATGGAGACCTTTTTAGAAAACATAGAAAAAGAAGAGGAACAAAAAGATGGTGAGGAGGAGGAAGATATTGATTTTTTTGAAGATACTGATTCTGATGAAGATGAAGGAGGACTGTCTGGAAGTCAAAAACTTAAGGTAAAGTTTTGGGAGGGCAGAGGAAAGAGTACTTTCTTCTTTTAAAATTAGATTTTGATCTTATTCTCTAGGATAGTTTTAAAGCACCCCCAAATTCACTAGGGCATAAGTGAAATATTTAGATCAATTGAAAAAAAATTGACTGGAAAAATTAAACTGAAGCTATTAGTTTCTTACCACAAAACACTCCTTTGGTTATGTAGTTAAGACCCATAACCACATATGTTAGAGGTATTCAGAATTTCCCCTCAAACGTATCTTTTGATCAAGCAGAGGAAGGCATTTGTATACTTTAATTTGGTTAGGGCTATTTTAGAAATTTTTGTAGTTAGAAGATTAAGAGATGGGATATTATTCTTTGTCTTATCAATTATAAATAAATCTAGAGTTCCGTTTAGTTTGTTGTGTTCCACTTGTTCTCATAGTTCTATGGCAGTGTTATTAGTTGCCAGTTTTCCCCACTAACTATTTTTGGTTTATATTAAAATAAGAGAGCAGTGTAAATATACAATATGTATGCATACACACAGCACACATTTTAAATGTATTTTCCTATCGTTAATAAAAAGTTTTATACATCTTTTTTATTTTAGTCAGGCAAAAATTCTAGAAATCTGAAATATAAAGATTTCTTTGATCCAATTGAAACTGATGAAGACATAGCAAGTGATCGTGATGAGCTGGGTTCAAATGAAGAAGAAGAAATTGCTGAAGAAGAAGAAGAAAGCGTTTTTGAAATGTGAGTCTCTTGAGTCATTCTTTACATTGTAAGCTGGAGCAATCTAACCGTGTAATGTAGATGGGCTCAGTTGTCAGTTACGTTTGTCTTAAGAAGTTAGAATATCTAAGATAGAATAGTCTCAAGATGGCCAGAATAAAGTCTCTGAGTTAACTAAATGATTTTGGAACTTCTGAAACTTGTTCAATGTTTGGTTGCATGTAAGTATACAAAAGAATAACTTTTATTACTAGAAAATTGGTTTTATGTTTTTGTTTTCTTAATGAAAAGTAATGTATTTCATAAGTTTTTTTGTATATTATAGGGACGAAGATAATGACCTTGAAGAAAGTGAAGACAGTAAACAACATAAAGAATGTTTGAAAAGAGTGACCTTTGCTTTGCCAAATGATGAAGAAACTGAAGATACGAATACTTCAAATGTAAAGAAAAATTCTGATGAAGTGAAATCATCTTTTGAAAAAAGACAGGAAAAGGTAACTGTTAAGAATTTAAGGAATATTTTACATGTTTAACATGGCTGTGGGTAAAGACTCATAGACTATTAGCTAATCTACCCTGTCTTCTTGGTGGAACTGCGCAAAGATCCTTACTGCTTTCTAAAAGCACGCTATAGGGATGCCCATGGGAAAAACAGCTAATTTGCAAAAATCGGTGCCTCCCTTTCCCAACCTGTGGCTTTCAATTTGGGTCCCACATTTAAAAACTCTGTTTCTTTGTCTCTGGTGTCCCAATACCTGTGGCATGTCTCTCCTGATTATCTGTCCTGTGAGCCTCTGCATGTCTGTATCAGCTGCTCTGGAGGATACTACCTGTCTCTTTAAGGTTCTATGCAAGTGACTTGTGAGTGCCACATAGCTTGAATTTTGATTCATACCGTCTTAAACACATCTTCCAAAGCTGATAAAAATTTTCCTTCCCCACTTTTTAAAATACAGGCACACCTCGTTTTATTGCACTTTACTTTATTGTGCTTAGCAGATACTACATTTTTTACAAACTGAAAGTTTGTGGTAACTGTCAAGCAAGCCTATTGATGCCATTTTTCCAACAGCATATGCTCACTTCATGTGTCTGTCACATTCTGGTAACTCTCACAACTTCAGACTTTTTTGTTACTGTATCTGTTATGGTGATCTGTGATCAGTGATCTTTGATGTTATTATTATAATTGTTTTGTGGCGCCACAAACCATGCCCGTATAAGGCAGTGAACTTAATAGATAAATGTGTGTGTTCTAACTGTTCCACGAGCCTGTGTCTCTCCCTGTCTCGGGCCTGCCTATTCCCTGGGACACGATGATATTGAAATTAGGACAATTAATAACCCTACGGTCGCCTTTAAGTGTTCAAGTGAAAGGAAGAGCCCCATGTTTCTCACTTTAAATCCAAAGCTAGAGGCTTAGTGAGGAAGGCATATCAAAAGCTGAGACAGGCTGAAAGCTAGGCCACTTGTGCCAAACAGTTAACCAAGTTATGAGTGCAAAGGAAAAGTTTTTGAAGGAAATTAAAAGTGCTTCTCCAGTGAACACACATGATAAGAAAGTGAAACAGCTTCATTGCTAATATGGAGAAAGTTTTAATGGTCTGGATAGAAGATCAGACCAGCCACAACATTACCTTAAGTCAAAGCCTAATCCAGAGCAAGGCCCTAACTCTTCATTCCATAAAGGCTGAGAGAGGTGAAGAAGCTGCAGAAGAAAACTTGGAAGCTAGCAGAGATTGGCTCATGAGGTTTAAGGAAAAAAGCAGTCTCTATAGCAGAAGTGCAGGGTGAAGCTGCAAGTTAAGATCTAGCTAAGATAATTGATGGAAGGTGGCTACAGTAAACAACAGATTTCCTTCCTCCCTCCCTCCCTTCCACTTTAAATGAACGTTACAGAGCAAACCAGCTTTTCATTAAACAGTACACATATTGTTTTGTGATGTTGGTTGCCAGCCCCACGATCTTGGGTTCCCTATTACCAGCTTTCCTGTCCCCTCCTGCCGTCTTGTCCTTGCCCCTGGGCTGGTGTGCCCATTTAGTCTCCTTTGGTTTTAGGGGCCTGTCTAATCTTTGGCTGAAGGGTGAACCTCAGGAGTGATTTCATTACTGAGTTATAAAGGTGTCTGGGGGCCATACTCTCAGGGTTTCTCCAGTCTCTGTCAGGCCAGTAAGT